TTATTGACAAAAAGTACAACCACCATACAGTTCGATCATCCTCAAAGCGCCCGGTTTCTTTACATGATGCTTGGCGTGTCCACTTGCGTCACAGGAGTATGAGGCGCAGCTACTGACGCAACGACGTTCAGAAAATTTCAGTTAGTGTCCGAAATCTCGTTCAGTCGTTCCCCATGTAGTGCACTATATAGTAAACACGAAACAGGGAATAGTGAGTGAGTGTGTGAGTGGACGGTTTCGAACACAGCTCTGGACTCAACAACTGATTCGAGTTTGATGGTTGAAGGTCAAAGGTCAACGTCAGTGTGACCTCCAAAAACAGGTTTTTGGCTGTAACTTAAGAGTTCTTATGCAAATTATGACAAAGCTTCACACAAATGTCTATTAGGATACCATGATTAAGTAAGGACATCTTATTTCCAAAAGGTCAAAGGTCAACTTCTTATCATAGTGTTCTGCAAAAACACTTTCCTGGCCATTATTCAATGTCATATCTCAGGAACTGAAGGACATTTGGTAAGATGCTTAATTTTTGACACTAATCTGTGTTTAGGCATACAACCACAGAGTGGTAATTCTAGTTTTTCCACTATAGTAGAAAGATAACTGGTGATTCCATACCTTTATCTAGAGCCGTCACAGCACTGTGGAGGTAAGTCTGGCCACGTGAGACTGGCTTTGAGCCAAAGTAGAAAATTTTAGCCAAACTAGAAACAGGTAAACATAATGAAGCCTGAGGCTTTTTGCTGGGATTACTTTTGAATATGTTTACCTCATTATTTTAAACTCTCAACATCTGACACTGTAACTTTATATACATAAGGACAAGTACAGCATAAGGTCCCCTTTAAGAGAAAATCCCCCACAGTAATTACAGTTACATAATACACAAAAGTAATTCACATGAAAACACTGCCAACACCTGCCTGCCCTTTAGTATATTCCACACACGTGAATGGATTTAAAGGTCAGGCTAAGACATGTAACATCATGTACAGCTCTGATACCTTAATGCTGGATCAGACGTCAATCACCAGCAAACTGAACAATGAGGAACTTGTTCGTTTGTGGAAGAAGGTCGTCACCTACAAGGTAACAGGAACCAAGTGCAGCACAAACATTTAACATTTTTTTGGATTATTTACATACATTAATCTATGGCAGCCTCTTCATTCTACCATTAATACATATGCTTCTAGATATAGATATGGGAGATTGACCTAATCATTGTTGGTGTTTTCTGTATTTATTAGAACTTTTTCTTCCTCACTGATGTTTCACAAACTGTCAAAGAGTGAGCTGAGGAATGCTTTTCTAGCTTCACGTAGACCAGTTTAGGATTCACCTTCATTATAGATTTATTATATGATATATAATGACAGAAAAAATAATCCCTGTGCCATTTTCAAGTCAGAACCAAACAATGGGAAATAAAACATAATTATGTAACAAGAAAATACATTCTCAACAAAGAAACTGACAGTAGATGACTAACAGAGAAGATAACACTGCCTCTCTGTCATTCATCTTTGTTAATGTGCAAACTTCCAACCCTACCTCTTCTACAGCACTTGCAGCAGCTTACCTGAAAGTTAAGATTGCACAAACTGCCAGTTCCTCTTGAATTTTCGTTTGATAAAGAGAGTATATTTTTCTTGTCATCCACAGAGTTTGCAGTGATTTTGATTAAAGGTTGACAACATCCAACTTCAGCAATGTACACATTTCCTCTCACTTCCATTGAAGTCCTGTCCCCACCAGAGGGGAAAACAATTCATCATTCTCTAACGACTTTATATTACGTAAAGGTGCCTTCTTGTCTTTTGTGTATTCTAGCAAACAACAGAAAAATATCTACAAGCTGCTGTGTGATTGGATGCACTGCCAAAAGAGTTAAGAACCCAGAACTAAGCTTATAAAAGGTGCTGTACCAAAAAACTAAGCTTTTAAGAGGACGAAAGTGGACACAGACTTGAGGCATCAGCAGGGAGAATGGGACAACTGTGGGATCCTGACACTTAGCATACCCTGTGCATCAAGCATTGAGACTGTAGAGATTGAGGCTACCTATGCTATGCTATTCCTGGTTTTGATCTTTGTCAGCTTAAATGATGATCTCAACTGGTTATTCGATTTAATAGTTGTAAATATTAGTTTTTTGTTTCTGGCCATACAGTAAGATAATTTCTCCAAGATTAGCAAGGCAAGAAGAAGAGGACACTGAGACAGACTGACAATAGTTAGTCAGTATAACTCTTCCTCTCTGGTAGACATAACGTGCTAAAATAATCCTTTGACATGCTGATAATCTTTTCAGTTACTTTGTTAGTGTTTCAGCCTTTAGTTACATATTGTGGCGCCGTTTGTTTTCCCCTAAGGTGGATGGTTACGCTATGTCTCTATAGTTCATGGCCTAAGTACATGATGAGTGTTTGTGTTCTCACCAGAGCAGTGTAAATACATCCAGCTTCTTGAACACTGCGCTTCACAATATTTTGCTCTCTGTATCTTAATTTACAAGTAGAGTTACTACCTCATGGTTATATGCCTCTGTGAACCAGTCAAGATGCAGTTTACATCCATGTCTGTCCAGACACATATGTAGCCATGAGAGTAGAGGATGCTTTAGATGTGGATGCTGCTGCAGTGAAGCTACATATTCTAAAATGTGGGTGCTTCACACTTCTTCAACCGGGCAGCACAGATCTAAACAATCAGCACAGACTGAAGGTGGACACCTAAAATTAGTGTCACCAATTCAGTATCTGATCAAATGTCTCCCCTTCTGTTCCTGAGTTATTGTGCTGAATAATGGCCAGAAAACATTATGTCACAGTGAAGTTGACCTTTGACCTTTAGTATAAACAAAGCTATCAATTGATCATGCGACATTTGCGTGAAATTTTGTCATAATTAGCGCATGAATCTTTGACTTATGGCCCAAAACATGTTTTGCTAGCTAACACTGACCTTTGACCTTTCTATGTGATTGTGCCAAATTTATCGAAATTCCCTGTTGGCATTCTTGGGATATTGCATTCACGAGACTGGGATGATGGACAGGTCATGGCTGTCACCAGCATAGAGGCATAAAAATGGACTCCCTTTATCTTTATTAGGCTGCTTCACACACTGCACGAGGGACTTTTCGTGAAAAAAAGAACAATGCACTATTTTTTCTGTCTAATCACTACGACAGTCATATGTTGATGGTCTGCACTGTATATCAGTGTGAGACAGTTTCCATGTTCTCCCTGTGTTTGCAGGGGTTTCATGCTCTAAAGACATGCAAGTTAGGTGACATGAAACTTCTACACTGACCATATATGTCAGTGTGAACTGTATATGAATATCTGTCTTCCAACTCCACGTTAGCTCTTCGACAAACATGCAGCCTGACCAGTTATAACACCTATGGGTGTACCCTGCCTCTCACTTGATGCATGCTTGAATACCTGAATACCCATCTTCCACCCATCAGTAGGCTACCATACCAATGATGTATTTTACTATATCTTACTATATAATGACGAAAACTCTGTCTGTGTGTCTGTTCCACGTTTTTCTCCTCACTGACTTGGTCAATCCATGAGAAATTTGGCACAGTGGTAGAGGATCATGGGAGGATGCGAATAAAACAATATTACATCAATTGGCCAAAGGGGGCGCTATAGCAACCGATTGAAATTGCAAACTTTGAATGGGCATATCTCATGCCCCGTATGTCGTAGAGACATGAAACTTTGCACAGAGATGCCTCTCCTCATGAGGAACAAATTTGCCTCAAGAACCCATAACTTCCAGTTATACAGATTTTCTGACATTTTGAATTTTTTGAAAAACACTTAAAATCGATCTCTTCCAAGGAAGTTTGACCGATCTGCATGAAACTCGGTAAACATAATCTAGGGACCAATATCTAAAGTTCCCTCTTGGCAAAAGTTGGAAAACTTACTAAAACTGAGCTTCTATAAGGCAATGAATATTGCGGAGGGAGTGGCTCATCACATAAAGGTGTATAACATCTCAAGGGTTTCACCGATCACCACGCAACTTTGTAGGCATATGACCACACATAATCTGAGGGGAGCCCTCCATTATTGACCCCATCAAACAAAATGGGGGCGCTAGAGAGCTAATTTCTTATCTAGGCCTAACCGCCATATCGATTTTTACTAAACTTGGTAGAGATGTAGAACAGGACGCCTCAAGGTGACTGGAGAAATTTAACTCTAATTGGCAACTGGGTGGCGCTATAACAACAGAAAAATGCTTAAAAATGGCTAAAATGTGACCGATCGTTGTGGCTCCCCCTGTGGCCCAATGTTTTTTGGTTTTTTTTTCTAATTTTTGGTATGATTAAGTCATGGTATGGTATGCTGTACATAATCACGGAAACTGTCAGTGTGTCATTCTGTCAGTCAGTCATTCTGTCTGTCCCACGTTTTTCTACTCACTGATGTGGTCAATCTATGTGAAACTGCACATAGGCACTGAGGATTGGCATAGGTAGAAGGTGACAAAGCTACCAATGGGTATGGACTAGTATTGTTTAAAACACACATTGCAGGCCTCATGAAATAACGGTTCTGCTACTGCGAGGCTGACTGAGGAGATGAGTTTACTGTCTTTACATGCACAGACGACGGTGACAGATTTATATTGTATGCAGCCAGTGTTTTTCACATGACAGTTTTATGTCTTAACTAACTACTGTGAAAATATAGGTCCTGAGCATTTGAACAAGTCAGGGCAGCATAGACTGATGGATGACATTAAAGCTATTATGCTCTTTTCATGTACATGGTGTTCTTATATAATCTCCCTCCCTCCCTCTATCATCTGCCAGTATGTCTGCCTGTATACTGTGCGCAGCTGTGACATGTTAATTCTCATGTTCCTTCTTTGTAGAAGAACTTTGCATACTGACAGTCATAGCCTTAGGCGTTCATAGTTACCACATAAGAACTGGAGCTTCTTCTCTTATACGTGTTGCTCTACCCAGACTCAAGACTTTCCCTTTCTGGCTGGTAGGTAAGTTTTCAATATTCATATACCATAACATTTTACCATTAAAACCGCCAGCATTCCAATAGCTCCTTGGGGGATCATTTTTACCCCCTGACACAACAGCGTCAGTAAACACAAATATGTCTTTTCTTGTAGTAGGCAAGTGAATTTTTAAGAAATGAGGGGTTTAATGATTTTAATTTTCAGATTGAAAAAAGGCGCATTTGAAAAAAACAACAAAATAATCAATATTTTAAACAGCTCCATTTTCATTTTCACATACAGTTTAGCAGTTTGTGGTATTGTCATAGTTGACGGCGCTGTTCCTGTTGTGTACTTGACATTGTTACTTTGAGTCACTAAAAAATTACTGTCAGTGCAATTTAATGTAAGACCCAAGATTGATTACCAAGTGGTGTATGAGGGCTCTGCACTCTGTTACTTCTTATTAAAATGGGTTATCTTGATATTTGTAGTCCACAAAGGAAAAATAAGAAACTAAAGCACACTTCACAAAATGAAAATGCATCACTTTTTCTATGCATGCAAAGGCTTTTCAAATTTGTTTACACATTTGTTGAAATCTGTGCTGTTGAGGTGTGACTTATCAAGATGCTGATTAAAAAGCATCATTACTACATAGGTGTGCCTTGGCATGGTCAAGCGAATCTTGTAAATAAATATGCTGGATAAGGAGATCTTGTGCTGGTGTGGTTACATGTGGTCTGTGGTCATGAGGCCAGTTGGATGTACTGTCAAAGTCAAAGAAATGACTTTGGAGATGGCTTTTGGTAGCATATTTCAGAGTGGCCTTTTATTGTGACCAGCTCAAGGCAACAACAAAACTTTGTCAATTGTTTTTTCTGTTGGTAGTCTGCAATTTTTTGGACTGCAGTTTTGAACTTATTGTTGTGTTAGTGAGTGATTCTGTGATGATTTTTAGCTATGCATAAAACACCATTCAAAACTGACAAATTAAATAAGCAGTATTGCCAAGCTTTACTTTGCTGAACAAAATCCATGTATGAAAAATTGCTCATATGTAATAACCACAAACATGTAAACCAGTGATATTCAACTTGTGGCCTGTGGGCCTGATCTGGCCTGTATTTGGGTGCCAGGTGGTCTGGCAACTATTCTGTAATTCACAATAGAATTTAAATTAATTCACACTTTTCTTAAACTTTGAATGTAAATAAGGTGCCTGAGTGCATTAAAAGCATCATCATAGAGCTTGTTTAACAAAAAAAAGTGCCAGGGTCAAATTATTTTTATATAAATTACTAAAGTTTGTTATCAACTGGCCCCTGACCTCCTGGCATTTTGCAAATGTGGCCCCAGGGCAAAGCAAGTTGAGTATCCCTGATGCAGACTAACTTGTTTAGAGTCGTTACTTCTCCTCTGTGGCACATTCTAGAAGGTGGTATTAAACTTTGTAGAGAATAAAAGCAAACAGGTATGTCAAAGAAAGATGATACTCTAACACAGACAATCGGTTATTGTGCAGCATTCTATAGAGGCTAGAACCAGCATGCACACTGACATGGGTGCAGATCCCGGGGGGGAAAGGGGGGGACATGTCCCCCCCAAATTCTGAAAAACACAAATTGTCCCCCCCAATTCTAAATAGCTTAAATGATTGAAATTGAACAAATGTATACAGTAGTCCTATATACTGGGAGAAAGGGAAGATGATGAGGAGAAATGGGAATCCGTGAGAGGCGAGAGATGAGAACATGAGTGGACATAACATGCCTGAGACCCTGAAACTAGCAGTAGCATTAACTAACAGCGAAGCAGTGAAAAGGAGGGTGATGGCTAGTTCCATGTACTACTGGCTGTTTAAGAGAAATAAACAGTAAAGGTAAGCATAAGATTCTCTTTGTAGTGCTTTTTGAATGACTTGGTGATGGTGATGAACTTCTATAAAATCGTGAAATATGCTGGCAATCTCAAGCGCTCTGTGGGCATGATTTGCACGCGTGCAATTAAAAAAAATCACAACTGATTGTCCCCCCCAAACTTGTCATCAGATCTGCACCCATGCACACTGACATATTCAAAGATCTTATTTTACCTCTTTGACGCCCAACAGGTAGAAATAAACTATGCAGGGAATGCAGAGGTATGGAAAGTTTAACAAAAAAAAAGTGATTGAAAGTAAAAAGCACAGACAAGTTTTACTTTTAGTCCCAGTCAGAAAGGGTTGAGGCAAGGCAGTGCTACATATTTGGGAAGTACTGAGTATATAACTGGATAAATGAGACTTGGATTATTCTGCATGAGTTGTGTGAGAGTTTGTGAATGGATGATTTGATATAGTTTTGCTCTTGTTAAAGGTGGTCCCCATTTACTTCAGTTAATTAACAATGTTTGAAGTTTTTGGATTCTTGGTTCATTGAGAAAAACAATGTTTTATTTACAAATTAAAGGTAACACAACATGAATAATAGATGTACAGTATAAATGGTCATTTTGATAAGAGTCTGTAGGGTTTTGAGGTCAGTTTTTAAAATTTTGTAAATAAACTATATCATTAGTTATTTGGAAGGTTTAAGAGGGTTATAAATTATCTAATTTTTTTGTTGTGATTATGGATTAAAGTGGTGGGTAATAAAGAAACCAGCCCAGTCACCTGAAGAAGATGTTGCCATTGTACATTTTTGCAAAGCATGGTTACATTTGTACATTTCACATGTATCTTATATATATTAACGTTTCTAAAGTGACATGGAACATGAGCTGACATGAGCTGATACCTTGGTGAGACACCTGCCAAGCTGCCGACCAATGTTCGAATCCAACAAACAACAAAACCGGTTGTTTTTTAGCGAGAAATCACTGCATTTCCTGCTGGAATAGAGCCAATAAAAGTATCTAGCCTACCTTGAGCTTTGCTTTTTTACAGAGTGGCTAGTTTGATTCTTGCTTTTTTATTTTCCAGTAATTACAGAGTCAAGAGACTGACATCCTTTAGCTGTTGGTGAGACAGGCAACATTAAAAAGTAATTGTTTTCTGTCTCCTTTTTTCTTTTTCTGAACAGAGTTCAAACACTGCAACAATGCCTGCCCCAGGTGTGTGTATGAACATCCTCAATGCCCGTCATGCGAAAGATGGCAGAGGGACCAGCAACAACCCCGAGCAGTTTCTCAACCAAGACTTTGTGCAGCTGAAACAGTACTGTCTCATCAAACAGGTGAGGTACATCGATGACATGTTCCCCCCTGACAGAAGGTCCATCGGTCAGGGGGTACTGAGTCCTTCTGACCTGAAGCGAGTTGTCTGGCTGAGACCAGGGGTGAGTGTTTAAGTCTTTGATCCCATATCACACTAAATGTTGATTTGTAAACATGTCTTTCTTTTGCTAAACATTCAACTTGTTCAACTGTCATGTGTTTAACTTTGATCCTTGTTTATGTTGTGCAGAGCTTAGCTTGTGTTAGTGCTTCTGCTAGCAACTACAGCCTAAAGGCTCAGACATACCAAACTGACTTCAGAGAACTAGTGGTGAGAGAAGCCCTATGCTGCATCACCTCATGTCACCGTGCCTTGGCCAAAAAGTTGCACATGAACACACCACAAAAACTTCTTCTGCTGGCCCACTAGCACGTATGTTTTGCGGTCTCCACACCAGCAGATGGTGGTAGGCTGTATTCATCATACAAAAGGGGAAACCGGAAGATGCTAGTTAGCCAGATAGCACATTAACAACACAATCATATTTACTGTGCACCAGTGAACAATAACGCAAACCTGCTTGATACGTTCCTGCTTAAAAGCTCAATGGCTAGAGAAAAATAATCTTACCTTATTTAACAAGTTTGTTTTGGCCTCACGCCTTCTTGACTTTAGCACTTTGTTTACTTTCCTCACCTCTGTTTCTCTTCTCATGGGCAGTGCTGAACTGCCAATCAGAGTAATTTCATTCACCAACAGGCTGCAGAGCCGCTGACAGCAATCTAACATGCTGAATCGGCAGAAAAAAAGCCAACTAGTGCTGACGAGGGCCAGTGGTGCAGGATACACCACAGCAACGAGGGCCACGGTTGCTCACTGACGGCCCAAGATGGACCTACGGCACTGTCAGCTCATTGTGTCAGGGCCTTGAGGTTCCTGACACAACAAGGTGACAGTTTGCCATTGGTTGATGTCAGGCATCTGTGAGGATATGTTGCCCAAGTTTGTTTTTTTTTGTGGTGTGTCCTGCATCATTGGCCCTTGTTGGCTTTTTTGGGCGATTCAACACATTCAATCTGCGGCTGAGTTTGTCAATGAATAAAATCACTCTGATTGGCAGTTCAGCTCAGTGTATGAGAAGAAAAACTAAAGTGAGGAAAGTAAACAATCAACTAAAGCCAAGAGGGCATCACATCAAAACTTTTTATATTAGGTAAGGTTATTTTTGGGGGCACTGAGCTCTTTAGAAGACAACGTTTGGAACTGTTTTTTATTGTTTATTACAGTAACGTAAAAATCATTTGTTCTTTCAATATCAGGCCGAGACACAGGCAACGAGAGGCAATGCAACAGTTGGACTTCTTTGCCACAAGTTCTTTGATGTTAGTTTGGTTTGTCTCAACCTTAAGATTTTGTACAAAGTAAGACTCTTGCTTAGGATTGTTCAGAGCTTCTGAGAGTCACAGAGTTTGTCAGTCCTCAGTTATTTGGCAGTGCTAGCAAGCCTTTTGCATAACCATCACTGAATTGTTTGGTTCAGCATTGAGTAAAAAACAAAAGTTGCTTAATATACATTAAAAGATGAATATTAGAAGTCAAAGACAAACCTGAAAAAGCTAAACAGGCTGTAGTTATAGTGTATTACTGTATTGCTCTCTGACAGGTGCTGTCAACAATTTCTGTGTTTCAGAAAATTGTTCCCAATCCTTTTTTTGAAGTTGATGGGGTCTCCAGGTTTGACTTTGGTCAAGGCGTAGTTGGTAGGAAAATTGCTTCATTCATAATAATCAATAAATTGTTTGTCCAGCAATGTAATTTTGAGATGCAAGTGCAGACAAGTGCAAAAAGAGACTATGGTAGGGCAGAGAATATATTGTACCAATGTGTTTTTTTTAACTCTTTCTATCAGGAGACTGCTGGTTTCTTGCATCTATCGGAGCTCTGACATTCCAGACTGACATCCTTCAGCAAGTTGTTCCTCTCGATCAAAGATTTGATAAGGACTACTGCGGGATGTTCCACTTCAGGGTAAAGCAGTGTTTGTATAAAAGTAGGTTAGATTCTGCTAAATGACACATAACTTGTTTTTGCCATGATCTCTTAATATTCTCTCATTTCTCATCTACTCAGTTTTGGAGATTTGGAAGATGGGTGGATGTTGTCATTGATGACAAACTACCAACAATTGACGGCAGACTAATCTTCGTTAGCTCCAAAGACCCAACTGAGTTCTGGCCTGCTTTACTGGAGAAAGCCTATGCCAAGTATGAAAAAACAACTGACTGTTTCTCAGTCATAAAATACATTTTCTCAGAGTGATATTTGTTTTATTTTGGGAGTATCTTTGTAAGTAATATCCCAACCACTTGTTTCAGAGTGTGTGGTTCCTACTCAGACATGAATGCTGGAACTCCCTCTGAGGCTTTGTAGGACTTCACTGGTGGTGTTCACATGTGTATCAATCTGGCAGAGCCTCCCCAAAACCTGTGGGAACTGATGTTCAGAGCTGGCAAATCTACGGCATTGATGGGTTGTGGTACACCACAGGGGGTAAGCACGAATATACCACACAAAACCAGTATTGACTGGTTCTTTTTGCTTTTATGTGCTAAAACTCTGTGGAATGTTAGACAGTCCTAGTAAGACAGATAGTTTTAGTTATGTTCATTAGAAGATAATGTTTTTAATATGATTTGTATCTCCAATATAGCATCCACCCCTTTTCCACCAAAATTGGCACGTGTACGCAGGCTTTTCAAACACGGGTAAACCCACTAAAAGTAGGGGGCAGACTCCTTTCCCATAGCCAGTAGACCATATATGGATCTGCAGCAGACCAATTTGCCTTTCTCTGTGTGTCTGTTTTGTTTTGTTTTTTTCGTTGTTTTTTTCTGGTGTGTCATGTCCGACGTCACAGACAGGCTGGAAAACAGGTTAGTGAACAGTAAAAAGCAGCATGGAGGCCTGTGAAAACTTTACAGTAGTTACTTCTCTTTATATATCTCTTATTCAGTCTCTTTCAAACTTGGTGCAGATTAATTTGGGTTGATGTTTGAGCACTGCTTGGGTGGAGATGGACTATATTTTGTGGTACCACATCGTTGCATCTCGCCAGTTAAGGGCCTTAAATTAGCATGTTCTAATGGATGTTGTGTTTCCATCAATGCCAATAAGAGCTGCAGCTGATAAATACCTATGAAAAATGCAGTGTCATTTGACTCTGGAGTGAATATCGATTGTAACCTTTCCCATTATATTTAAGAGTCAGATGTTAGCTGGTGTTAGCGGTTTTCGTGCAAGCGAAAACAGGCTTCACTCTTTAGTATTTCATAGATGTATGCTAGGTGATGACTTTTCTGGCTGCTGACATTTTCATTTGTCATAGCAGCAAACCAAAAACATTGTGATGGCATGGTTCCATTTACAGCAGGTGTGACAGTAACTCCCTGTTCATACATGGCAATGGCCTGAGACTGAAGAAGTGCTGGGATGTCAGACTGTCAAGTCTCAGCTAATCAGTGGCATGACATGCTGAGGATATTTTAGCTATGCAGGAATTTCTCTTGATGTTCCCGGGGTGACAGGTCTTTTTTTCAAGCACCTCAAGAAATTACATGCTTGTTCTCAATTCAATTCAATTCACCTATGAAAAAGAAAAGGAGTTTTAAACACAATTGATTATGGGCTTTAATGGCTTCCAGTTCCAAATCAGAGCTGAGTATTTAAGTAATGGCTGAAAGCTACAGACTCACCAGAAGCAAGGGATGTCCTACAGCCTTTAAATCTATATGTGTGAATAAGGTGTTAACCATTTGAGCCAATATACATGGAAATATTAGCAGTATTAACTGTATGGTATGTATAACAGGTTAGAAATACCGCTTTACAGTAAAGCTTTATTGTGCAAGGAAAATAAAGATGAATGTCATTACTTGTCACGGTATAAAGAGCTTTAAAATTCATGTTATCATACAGCACTATGACCAACTCATGTTGCAAAGTGCTTTATTTAGTACTCTTTCAAATTCTTGAAATTTTAGTGTTTTTTCTGGGAGGATTTAACAATGACAATGAATTGCTGCTAAGACTTGTTTGAACTCATAAGACTAACCATCTAGCTAAATCATAATGTGTTTCAGTAGCCTCGTTGTCTTTGTCTGATATTACTTTCTTAACCCATGTTGATACTCAATTTTGAGTATTTTATATGGATTCAAATATTGTCACTTCAGCGATTAGGAGGTAAACAATCAAATGTTGGTCCCCTGTTGACTTGTTAATTTATTATGTGCTTAGAAAAATGTATGTTGCACAAGACGACCTGCAGCTATAACATATAAAGTATTTATATCTTGTAGGAGACATCTGCCAACACGGTGTTACCGAATGGATTGGTCCAAGGCCATGCCTACGCTGTTACTGGTTTGAAACAGGTAAAGAATTCCATTTGTTTTAAGGTCATTAGTGTACCACCAACCACTAGCTACGTATCTTCATACAATACATACGATATATCCTACGAAAATGCACACATAACAGTCTGTATAATATCCTACAAATTAGAGCCCCACGAATGACTTTACGTTCTTATCGTAAACTTATCTAACTAACGTAAAGTTACAGAGGTTGGGCTCAGGCAAATAAAATGACTGTGGTTAGGTTAAGGAAAAGAAACATGGGGAAGACATACCTTAAAATGACTCAAATTTCTCTCAAAGTTTGCACAGTTGGAAAAACACAGTTGGGGAAAGTCCTGTGTTTGCACCAAAATATCTGGACTGTATGGAAGCGTTACCTTCTTTTCTGCCATCGGTGCATTGGTCACGTGATTGCAGCCTTCCAAAATACATGGCTTATGTATGAATTACTGGTTTATCAGTACGTTGGATATGTATGAATTTTGGTGCATTACGAATGAATGGTGCATGAGAACAGCTCCTATTAGTCTTGAATTTAACCTTTGCAAATGATTTGATTAAAATATAGAGTTCTAGGGTAATAAAGTCCTTAATTTGGCCTTTACTGTAGCCTATAGTTGTACATATCAAAGGAAGTAAGTACGTACATAGTGGTGTGCAGTGATTTTTATGGCAAATAACAAATTTTTCTGTCTGGTTATTGCTGGTCAGGTGATGAGCCGAGGGCAAATGGTAAACCTGGTGCGTTTGTGGAACCCCTGGGGCAGGGGGGAGTGGAACGGAGACTGGAGTGATCGGTAAGAATGGCACTGAGTGCAGTGACTATTTCACAAAGAAACTGCTCTGATTTGCTGTCCTAGGAGAGAAAACAGTGATTATTTTCTTATAACAAAATTTGTCATACACAGGTAAATTTCTCAGGAATGCTATGTTAACAGTTTGTGTCTGCTTCTTGGTGATAAGCTCTACAATGGTAAACTAAATAATGTTTTTGTAAGTCATCTATAAGGGAGTTGGGGACATTTTAAACAGAGCCATGAAGCCTTTCTGTAGCTGTCTTATTGTAATAACTCTCTTGTTATTATAAACTGGTTGTGCCAGTTAGCAATAAAGCATGACTACAGCGGTTCTGACAGGTCTTCTACATTCATATCTTGGAGGTTATCAGTTATAAAAGAATAATGTAATTAATGTTTTTCCAGTGAATGTAAATCTTTTTATGATTACTTGTCTGAACCTTACCCAATGATTGCAGCAGACAAGTTAAACTGATGCATCCAGTTCAGGCTGGTGTCTCATGGGTGATCCAAGTTATGCTGGATCCTTTTTTATGCTTTTTATATAACGATCTCCTCAGTTATTTACTATTGTATCTTACTATCTTACTATATAATGACGAAAACTCTGTCTGTCTGTGGGTGTGTCTGTTCCACGTTTTTCTCCTCACTGACTTGGTCAATCCATGTGAAATTTGGCACAGTGGTAGAGGGTCATGGGAGGATGCGAATGAAGCAATATTACATCAATTGGCCAAAGGGGGGGCGCTATAGCAACCGATGAAATTGCAAACTTTGAATGGGCATATCTCATGCCCCGTATGTCGTAGAGACATGAAACTTTGCACAGAGATGCCTCTCCTCATGAGGAACAAATTTGCCTCGAGAACCCATAACTTCCGGTTTATAGATTTTCCGCCATTTTGAATTTTTTGAAAAACACTTAAAATTGATCTCTTCCTAGGAGGTTTGACCGATCTGCATGAAACTCGGTGAACATAATCTAGGGACCAATATCTAAAATTACCTCTTGGCAAAAGTTGGAAAACTTACTAAAACTGAGCTTCTATAAGGCAATGAATATTGCGGAGGGCGTGGCTCATCACATAAAGGTGTATAACATCTCAAGGGTTTCACCGATCACCACGCAACTTTGTAGGCATATGACCACACATAATCTGAGGGGACCCCTCCATTATTGACCCGATCAAACAAAATGGGGGCGCTAGAGAGCTAATTTCTTATCTAGGCCTAACCGCCATATCGATTTTTACCAAAGTTGGTAGATATGTAGAACAGGACGCCTCAAGGTGACTGGAGAAATTTAACTCTAATTGGCAACTGGGTGGCGCTATAACAACAGAAAAATGCTTCAAAATGGCTCAAATGTGACCGATCACTGTGGCTCCCCCTGTGGCCCAATGTTGTTGTTCTTTTCTAATTTTTGGTATGACTAAGTCATGGTATGCTGTACTCAATGGGTATGGACTAGTTTTATTTAATGCATGATAGTTCTAAGCATGTTGACCAACTGTGGAACAGAGCCCTGAAAAGTCTCTAGCTGTCTTATGGTCTTGGCGGTTTGCACAAAATTGGTTTTGGCAGTTTTCAGTCAGGGCAAGCCAAGTTTTGTCGCACAGCAATTGCAGCTCATTTATGTTTTGTCAGCAAAATATCTGTTGGCTTTTTCAAATTCATGCCATGCCATGAGAACTAAAGCTAGTAATTACACAGACTAATCTGCCTGGTACAACCACAGTGTGATCTGTTGGTCACCCAGTTGCTCCAGTGATTTAGTATTGCACTTTCAAAAAGGTTTCCCGAAAGATGCATGAAAAGAAGTAAGGTCAAAATTAGCAAGGAAGAAGCTGAGATCTCCTGACACTTAGTGCCTGGTATATCAAGCTCCCAAAACACTGGATTCTACATTTTCCATACAGCAACTCGACAGTTTGTGTTTTCGTAGACCCTCCCTGTCTTTTCAAACTCCATGCCACAGGTTTGAAAGTCAGATTTTACACTAATAAAAAAATGTCTAGTCTTCAAGCCCAAGCTGAATACCTTTCCTCCTCTACAGCTACCACATGAATGCCAGGATTTGCATGAGTGCATCTGGTCAAAAACAACTTGACACAGTTGTGTCAAGTTGACTCTTGGCCGTGAGCCTTGGCCTCTATCAGAAAAGGTCATTTACAACTGAATGTTTGAACCAATTTTAACAATATTGCCTCTCTTCTTTCTTCACTGCAAAATTGCACCTAAAGGTCGCCTTTATGGCAAACTGTGAGTCCTGAGGATCATGAGATGTGCCTTTCAGTGGCCGATGATGGGGAGTTTTGGTAAGCAAGCTAAAATCAAAATTTAAGGTGACAACAATTTTATAAAAGTTCTGACTGCAGAATGTTTTGTGACATACTCTAAAAAATAGAGTAGTAACTACCAATTTATTGTTTTCTCAACAACTTTAGTGTAAAATGCACTGATTAAAATTCAAAACTGATGTATAATATCTTTACCTGAAAGGGATTAAAAAGTAGTTTGTATTTTGAGACCACAGTTTTACATACAAAAACTAAAGTATAACTAGGTACATATAATCAATAAGCAATATCTATACATATTGTTTCACCAAGGACATATTTCTATAGTAGCCAAGAGAGGCATCATAATTTATTCATGATATAGGTGTAATTACATGTTTGTAATTAAGTGTAAATTGAAATTAATTTGATTATACTTTCAGTACATCTAAAAAACAGTTATGCAGATTTCATTTGCATATTTTACCTCAACTGATCAATACAGAGTAACAATTTCTTCTTTGACGGATCAAGTGACTCTAAGCCTAAAACAACACTGTGTCTAAATGAATCTCTGATATCAACAGGATGACCCTGGAAAACTTCTCAAAGTTCTACTCAGACCTTGACATCTGCTGCCTTTGTCCCGACTTCCTTGATGGAAGCTCTTCATGCCATTGGAAGACCTCCTACCATGAGGGCAGATGGGTTGCAGGAACAACTGCTGGAGGATGCATTAACAACCTTGGTACTTTCAGGATATCTGAACTTATGCAAAACTGTCCCCTCAAAAGCAGTACATGGAGACTGAAGTGTGCCAATTCAAAATGTAGTGATTGTGTATGTAGTGTGTTACTTCTTAATTTTAAATGCATAAATGCTAGGGGTGTGTTACGGTTCACAAAATTCACAGTTCAGTTTGATTCAACACAGGGGTGTCATGGTTTGGTACGTTTTCAACAGAGCACATAATAGAAATTTCCTTGATTTTAACATGTTCACTTTATTAAAACTAAGATCATAAAGTGTGATGTTCTTCGAACAATGATGGAGTCATACCTGAGTGACTCATCTTCAGGGGTGTCTCCTTAGCTTCATATATATAAAAAAAACAACAACAACCAGCTACTTAAAAATATTTACTGTAGTAAAAAAACGTTCCCTTTTTTATTCCAAGCAGACTCATAAGAGTACCTAGCATGTCCTATTTCAATGTGTAGGTCCACTGAAAAAACAGCGCCATGGAGAGTTGGGATGAGAACATGTTGGTATGTCTGTTGACTGAGGAGAGCCTGGTAGCATTGAAGCAATTGCTTTCTGCTCAATTTATCATTTACACATACATAGATGAATTTCATTTCACCTTTTTAACATTATCAACCCTTGTTTCACCCTTGTTTTAGCAAAATGGTAAAATGCAGAATTATTTCCTTCTTTGCCTTCCAGACAGTTTCTGGACTAATCCGCAGTATCGGGTCAGGATCGAGGGTTTGCTCAGTGAATGTTCTTCAGGCCAAGATGAGAAAAACATGCTGGTGTCTCTCATGCAAAAACCAGACAAGAGAAACAGACGCCTGGTCAAAAGTCTCCACATTGGATTCTCTGTATTTGAGGTAAATATTAACCTTCACTGTTTTTTTTAACAGTATGGACTGTTATGGATATATCCTGTATATGCATGGAAAGTAGCTGTTAAAGATGACACACACATATCACATGACATAAAAGCAGAAATAAAACCATTCTTGGCCATTCTGTGTCATTGTGGTGAACAATATCAGTGCTGTATCACAAAGTTAGCATTTATAGGAATGTGGCTTATCGCTCAACATAAAACATCTGTACCAAGTTCTTGAAGAAACTCTGAATGCAGCATATTGCTTGCTTTTTCATTTTACTAGAACTTTGGTAAACCACTATGAGCCCTATAACTGATCATTAACTTCCTTGATATCTATTTGCATCATTCACATGTCTTCATAAATTTATGATTTAATTAAAAATATTTTTTGTCTTTAACATGAACTAATTTTTCTCTGATTTCTTCTCAGGTGACTGAAGAAGTAAGTAACATTTTAACCCAATCCTCATACACAGTGCATGCCTACCTACATACTGCAGCTATGCTATAAACTGCATATAACTGACATCTATTTATTACTGGTGTTACAGTACAAGGCACACAGAGGGAAGTTCCCAGCCTCTTTCTTCAGCAGAAACAAAGCTGTTGCCCAAACAAAAACCTACATGAATGCACGTGAGGTGATGGAGTTCTTTTTGCTCAAGCCTGGCGAATACCTGATTGTGCCGTCCACCTTTAATCCAAACGAGACAGCCTCCTTCATCCTGACCATCCTTTCCAAGGCAGAGACCCACATCCAGTAAGTCACTCGCCAGACCTAGCACATTCAGCACCATAGGCAAGCCCCCACCCAATAAAAGAATATTTCATTATCTAATCTAGTATTTCAAACAATGACAAGACCTAAAAAATCAACACAAATAAACAATGTAGCTAACAAACAATAAAAGAATACGGTCAAACTAAACATATGGCCCCGGTGCTGGATGTCTCCCAATCATTTCATCATCAATCTAATTCACAGTGAAAATGAAATGATTCACACTGGGGATTTTTTTTTTTACTTTTAATATACATGAGGTGCCAGAGTGCATAAAAAAGAATCACATTAGAGCTTGTTTGTCCAAAAAAGTACCAAGGGAGGATTCCGTGGACCCCCTGACAGAAGTTCAGGCTAAGCCCCGAATGTCCTCAAATCCTAAAGAACGCCCCGTGTACCTGTGCGGGGCTTCTGTGACTGGCCCCTGGCCTCTTGTCATTTTGCAAAATGGCTCCCAGGCTAAGCAGGTTGAGAATCCCTGCTCTAGCATGTTGACTGTGATGATCGCTCTTACAACAGACCGACAGTTGGCATTAGATCAAATTTTTTACCCTACTGTTTGATTTGTTTTTTTTTCTCCAAATTTAAAACCTTTTTTTTGTGTTGGTAGGGAAGTGGCAGGCACCTATGTCACCTAAAGGAAGGTCTGCCACTGCTCACGTCTGACTAATTAGTCTTTAAAAGCTTGTACTATTAATTTATGTGCCATGACCAACTTATTATAAGCTTTTTACCCCAAAAACACAGAATCCCAAGCAAAAGTTGGCGATGAAAATAACAAAATAATTACATTACTTAACAAATTATTCAGCAGCAAAACACACATGTCAAAGGTGCCTTTAAACAACTCCAGAATGTTACTGGAAGTACTAACTGTAATGCCATTGCTGAATTTCACATTATACTCCCTTAAACTACTTGTTACTGAGAAAAGTGTCCAAGCCTTACTCAGTATTGTGCTATGCTCATCACTGGCCACAAGTGATGCGCTGTCGTCTTGTCTTTCCTTCCAGTGAGAATTCTGGTGGCCATAACCACGAACATAAGAAAACAGAAGAGGTTTGCAAGATTTTATGATATATTGTCAGTGTTCTCCTTATTTTGGTAATGCTGTTGTCTTGCATGTTATTTACTTTGTTGATTACATTGATAGCATGTAACACATAGTACATATTATATGGTGCATTAATTGCTCTGTAGCTGAAAGCAGTCAATATTTTGCAGCCCATACACATCAAAAATGGAGGGGATGATAAAAAGAAGAGGGTGATGTTCCGACAATACTCTGACGAGGTAATTTCTGTCTTAAAATAATAATCTCAAAGATTTTCATTTAAGTAAATGTCTGTTAAGTCACTATTGCTTAATAAGGTGAAAGAATGGTGAGTAAGCCTGTGGCTTATTGACCAAAGCCCTTGCATTTGCAGTATTATGAACCAGGTGTTTGTAGCAACATTCTCGGGACATTAATAATCTGCTTTTACCAGGCTGTTGTCATGCACTGTTCGTAGGTCTTCCTACACAAAGTATACACCAAAATTTGTGCATACCCTCAGAATCGTGAGCCAGTAATCTGTGTACAGTCAGTATATTTGGGAAGGTTCTGATCACACAATCAATGTACTGAGAGGAGTAAAGAATATATAAGGAGGTGGTCCCATAAAGAGGCAGGTTGGGGAGGTGGATGGGTCACAAAACATGGGACTTTCCCCAGGAGACCAGTGTTCCAAACCATATGAACTTTGAGTCATGCTATGGTACGTCATCACTATGTTTTTTTCTAAACCTACCCACTGGAACTTTACTCGCCTTCAACCTAACCTCCCTAACTTAACGTTAGGTAGCCGATGTAACTTCATGCTACATACTTAATGTTACAGTTGTATGAGGAAACACACATGCACATACATGTATTACCCCATCCCGCCCCCCACAAAATCTACGCCTATGTTCTTGCCAGCTACAGGACTCATAAACAAGCTGCTATAAATGTAGTCCACCGAAAAACAAGCTGCAATTACCAGTTATTGTTATAGCTGCCACCCAAGAGAATGAAACTGAGATCCTCGAGATTGTAACTTTATAGCTATAGTTGCCTATTTGTTTAGCTGGAGAGGTGCCAGTTCACCTCCTGGGCACTGCCGAGGTGCCCCTGAGCAAGGCACCGAACCCCCCAACTGCTCAGAGCGCCTGTCATGGGCAGCCCACTCTGACATCTCTCCACTTAGTGCATGTATAGGTCCAGTTTGTGCATGTGTGTGTTCGGACCTGTGTGTAATTGACAACAGAGTGAAAAATTGAATTTCCCCTGAGGGATTAATAAAGTATATAAAATTAAAAAAAAAAAAATTAAAAATTAAAATTAAATTAGCTGCATTCACCACCAGTGTAGACTCAGTAAAGTCACTGGTGTCAGCTAAGAAATAGTCAGGCACAGAGAATGGAGGTTTTTACACTTTCATTTTTTAAGGTAGCAATCTTTAGACGTGGGTGGATTTTGTTATTTTGTTTGACAGAGCTGGGCTAGCTGTTTTCCCCCCTGCTCCCTGTTTTTGTGCTAGGCTAAGCTAATCACCTACTAGCTGTAGCTTTATACTTTGAGTACAGGGGTCCATGTCATTGGTTCGACAGCCCATTGGTTCGACATCCCATTAGTCCGACTGTCCGCGGTGCTGAACCGCAACTGGCTTGAGGCGAAGCAGGCTCACAGCTTATGTGTTTGTCACTTTCTTTTTCATTTTAACCCACACCATGATCTTTTCCTGACCCTAACCAAGTGGTTTTAGTGCCTAAACCTAACCAGACCTTAACCACAGGGCATCATGATGATTTCGGAACGGACTTTGGAACAATGGGTTTAATATGGTCGGAACAATGGGATGTTGAACCAGTAGGCAGTTCCTGAGTACAGACCTTGTTGTTACTGTAAGTAAGTGCAGTAAAACCTCTGCCAGTAAAAAGCCAATACTTTATCAAATGTGTTCAGCATGTAGAAAGCCATATTTCAATCCGCTCTGTCCACAGTTTGTCGTTCACCGCTATTATGGTTTACAATCGCAGTTTACACAAGCACATTGCGCTAGCGGAGCCACCTAAATTGTTTATGTCACTGATTATGCTTCTGTGCATTGATAGCTCTTTTTTATTCTGTTTTTGCATTATGTTGAGGAGGGCAGTATGCGTGTGAATATATATAATATATATATATTTATATTTATATACACACACACACACACACACACACACACACTGAAAATGTGGCCCATCAATATTTTCTGGTTTTAAAATCCTGAACTAAGGCAACTAAGATAATGAGAATATAGTAAGACTATAAGTTTTTTCTTGTTGTAATTTCATGTCCAGTATGAAGAAGTGAATGCTGAGCAGCTTCAGAGGCTTCTCAATGAAAACATCCTGCAAGGTTTGGACTGTGAAGAGGCCTGATGCGTATGAGCTAAAAGAAATATTCAGATATGATAATCTTCTGTAGCACTTCTATGTGTTTTAACCCAATAAAGTGTCCTACTTTTCTTTCTATTTTAATATAGGACATTTGAAATCTGGAGGCTTCAGCCTTGACGCCTGTCGCAGCATGGTTGCTCTGATGGATGTATCCTCTTATGTGATATTCATTATGAATTGGTGTGATGGAAAAATATATGTTTATTTATTCCTTCTCTCCATCTCAGCTTTAAGTTTGCTAAATTGGGAATCTCTCACAGTAAATGTAGTTAAATAAAACACAGAGGTAGTGTACATGCCAAAACCCAGCAGCCCTTTTGGTGGTTTCACACAAAATCACATTTATGGGCTCTAGTTTCGCAGACCGGGCGCGGCCTGTGTGTGGCCAGGCGGATTTTGTAAGTTTGGCACACTGTGCGCCTGGCGCAGCTACTCCTCTTTCCCACCTCCGTCCCTCCTACCTGCACAAGTCGGAAAGAGGGAGGAGAGAAGGCGTGGAGTGGGTTTTACACACATCACACCAATCAAATGAGCCCCTCTCCTCGCCCTTAAATGCGCTGCGCGAAGGTGTAATGAGAGTTTACTCAATTCGCCATTGCAGAAGAGAGCAGCAGACAGCCAAACTCCTCCCAGGAGGAAACTTATATGTTTTGGTCTGGGGGGTCCAAGCTCGCAGTGTCCGAGTATACGGAACTGCGAGCAGACCTCCACGGGCTGATGATGCAAAGGTAGCCTGGGAGGAGGTCACCACAATCGTAAATCAATGTTGCATTTCTCTCGTGCGTGCGCGCTCTCTCTTTCTCTCTCGCAGTCTCACTGTTTCTTTTCTTTTGACTTTTCTAAGATGACAGATGCTGAATATATACTCCCTATCTGATGCTGTGGCTGTTTGTGGTTGGCTGAGAGGGATGTGAACTCATTAGTTTGCAGCTGTGTTAATCAAATCAGGTTGGGTTTCCATTACACGTGCCAAACGTGCCAAACGGTGCCAATCCCCTTTGATCTGACATCAGATGTGACAGGACAGTCGATATAGAGATACATTTATGTGCTGATTGCAGATAGTTGCATTGAATAGTGTTTTTTGGGTATTTATTGCATTGTTAATGTGCCTGATATTCTGGAAACCTGCCTGTGAGGTTTTGGTGACGTATGCGCACTGTCCGCCGGTCAGCCAAACTTAGGCTTACACAGGCTGCGCTCCCCCTGCGCTGACAATAGACCTGGTTTTAGCTGGTGAGCTTTTAGCGCACCTTCGGCGAAGCCTTTTGGCACAAAACTGTCACTGCGCCAAGCTGGATCTGTCGACACCTCCCCCTGCTGCGCCGCCACACCCATCTCAGCGCACCTCAGTCTGCCAAACTATACCAAACTGAGCGCGCCTCGGGTTGCGCTGCTCAAAACTAGCTCTGCGCGGGGTTCGCCACCCTGCGCCACCTGCGCTGCGCCGGGAAACTAGAGCCCTAGAGCCCTAAATGTTTAGCTAAGAAGTGGAACACGTGCAGCTCTGATTTCTTAATGATGGGTTAATCATTGTAGTTACATAATACATACAAGTAATCCACATGAAAACACTGCCAACACCTGCCTGCCCTTTAGTATATGTAACATGAATAGATTTAAAGGTCAGGCTAAGACATGAAACATCAGGTGCAGCTCTGATTCCTTAATGCTGGATCAGACGTCAATCACCGGCAAACTGAACTCTGAGGAATTTGTTCGTCTGTGGAAGAAGGTCGTCACATACAAGGTAAAAGAACCAAGTGAAGATTAAAAATCTCATAATAAAACAAAAATTACTGGTGGCCTTTATAATTACGGACATAATGACTCATACATTACTAACTGTCTTCTCTTTTGCCAGGACATATTCTTCCACACAGATGTTTCCCAAACGGTAACACTGTCACTGAGTGAGCTGAGGAATGCAATCATGGCTTTAGGTAGACAATCAGCCACTTCTCCTTGTCTGCTATAGACAGAATCATCCTGGGATTTATCCTCCTTATTTTAAACCTTATGAGTGGTGCTGAAACTTCAAAATCTTGCTAACCGTGTTTTATATTTTGCTGCTACAGACAAGATTAAGCATGCAGCAGGAAATTAAAGGAAGCATTAATAAAGTTGGCAAGATTTTGTTGGCTGTAATTAAAAACCTTTTCTGGGCAGCTGTAGCTCAGGGGAGTAGGATGAGCTGCCACTTATCTAAAGACCAGCTATTCCATTTCTGGCTCTTCCAAGCTGCATGTCAAAGTGTCCTTGGGCAAGATACTGGCCCACAGCACACCTGTCTGTCAGTGTCATTAATACTGAGCTGTACTTCAATTATATAATGTTAGTCCCGTACTTTTGTTTTTGAATGACATTGATGATGAACATTTAGATACTTAAACATATCCCAGACACTTTTTATTTTCATTTATCCAAATGTGTGAGAGTTATTGCACAAGAACTGTTTTTCACAGCAGACATTTTGAGCACAGGCGTCACTAGTGTTCTATTCACGTGTCCCAGGCCATCACAGAGTAACAGTGTCATTACTTAATGAAAGGAAAAATAAATTGCAGATTCTCATTAATGAAAACAATAAGGCAGCCCTAAAATAAGTCATACCATAAACTTTTGTCCTATATATGTTGGTTAGGAAAGAGGATCAGCGATGACATGCTGAACTTGATGGCTCTGCGCTATGGTGCCTCTTCTGGACACATGACGCTGGAGAGCTTCATCAGTCTCGCCCTTCGCTTTGACTGCATGAACCGTAAGTAAATTGGGAAGCTGCTGACAGTAGACAATAGTTTCAGTGCATGTATGGCCTAAATACGAAATTGTATTTATTACTCTGAGTCACTTTTCTGTGTGGTCAACAAACAATTTTTGCTGATTTCAAATGTATCAATGTACAATACATTTTATAATTATCTTGTGCACACAAGATGTAAAAAATCATATTACAGGACTTTAAAGGGGAACTACGCCCATTTTCAAAATTCATACAATACTAGTCCATACCTACTGGTAGCTTTGTCACCTTCTACCTATGCCAATCCTCAATGCCTATGTGCAGTTTCACATAGATTGACCACGTCAGTGAGTAGAAAAACGTGGGACAGACAGAATGACTGACTGACAGAATGACACACTGACAGTTTCCATGAATATGTACAGCATACCATACCATGACTTAGTCATACCAAAAATTAGAAAAAAAACACAACAACATTGGGCCACAGGGGGAGCCACAACGATCGGTCGCATTTTAGCCATTTTGAAGCATTTTTCTGTTGTTATAGCGCCACCCAGTTGCCAATTAGAGTTAAATTTCTCCAGTCACCTTGAGGAATCCTGTTCTACATATCTACCAAGTTTAGTAAAAATCAAAATGGCGGTTAGGCCTAGATAAGAAATTAGCTCTCTAGCGCCCCCATTTTGTTTGATGGGGTCAATAATGGAGGGATATCCTCAGATTATGTGCGGTCATATGCCTACAAAGTTGCATGGTGATCGGTGAAACCCTTGAGATGTTATACACCTTTATGTGATGAGCCACGCCCTCCGCAATATTCATTGCCTTATAGAAGCTCAGTTTTAGTAAGTTTTCCAACTTTTGCCAAGAGGGAACTTTAGATATTGGTCCCTAGATTATGTTCACAGAGTTTCATGCAGATCGGTCAAACTTCCTAGGAAGAGATCGATTTTAAGTGTTTTTCCAAAAATTCAAAATGGCGGAAAATCTATTTAACTGGAAGTTATGGGTTCTTGAGGCAAATTTGTTCCTCGTGAGGAGAGGCATCTCTGTGCAAAGTTTCATGTCTCTACGACATACGGGGCATGGGATATGCCCATTCAAATTTTGCAATTTCAGTCAGTTGCTATAGCGCCCCCCTTTGGCCAGTTGATGTAATATTGCTTCATTCTCATCCTCCATGACCCTCTACCACTGTGCCAAATTTCACATGGATTGACCAAGTCAGTGAGGAGAAAAACGTGGAACAGAGACACACAGACACACAGACAGAGTTTTCATCATTATAAGATTCCTATGGTCTAAGACAGTCAAAAAAAAATTACATAAACAACTCTCTCCCAAATAAAGTGCCCCAGGGATTATGTTTTTCTCCAGACCGTCACTGAAGTTAGCATCACCCTGGTTGCCTCATCAAAAATCCAATGGGGATTTTTACATTAACTTCTTTATTGCAGAAAATAAGCTCTGTGACAAACAAACATTTATGGTTCTTACATTTTCTTTTTGTTCACCAAGATAATCTTCACAATGGAACACCATTTTTGAAGCCCAGATGCAATCACCAGAAGTAAAAAGCTAGTTAGGGTACAAAGAAACCACACTACATTCACAACTAAACATGGCCACCACATCCAGGCCTTAAAGCCGTGGTTAATGTGATTATGTTGTGTCGGCTCATTTAGCCACTTGTTAGCAACCACTTTTTTTAAGACACACAGAAACTTCAACATCACTAGTGGGGTATTTACTGATGTATTTTGTCTTAGAACAAAATGTGAAAATCTCCTGAGCTTGTGTTAACCACAGATCCTATTTCAGGTGTCTAATGAAAAACCCATTGACTTTGAGAAGAAGGAAGCGGGGGTGGAAAAATGCTAACTCATTTCTGGGTTTTGGGACTCATTCCTGGGGCACTCTATCCAAACGCTGGAGTGCTAAATCTCAGATTTGTGACGTCATAGGGAATGAAGTCTGGAGCTCCTTTATAGATAATGAATTGGGAAAGATTTTCTAGATGACAATGAGAGCACCCAGGGAAATGTTCTGAGTATATGGGTACATTTTATCTTAGACACTACTATAGAATAAAGCTCACCTGGGTATAAAAAAGGACAGAAAAAACAACAACACTGTGGGTCCACAAAATCAGGCTCCCATCCATTGTCATACTTCTCTGTTTTCTGGTTTTGAGAGAGAGTAGCTCATGTTCACACTTATTACATTTTCCTTTACTATGCGAACACTCAAAATATTAGGTGTTTAGTACAGAAGTATGTGATTTGAAGAAAGTCTTATGTGGATCAATATTTCTTTATTATTTGGTTGTATTAACATCATATTTCAACATTGCTGGGATGCTCACTAAGAAGGTCCAGCTGATGGCCAGGTAACGTTGTGACCACCAGCACAACTTTCATTTTGGAACAACTTTTGAACCACATTGGGATGTCTTGATTGAATGTTCAAACAATGGTCATTCAATGTCTCAGTGTTTTCTGCCATGTCTTTAGAGTCTTAGTTTAAGTAACATTTTGGAGGATATAAACTGCCTCCTGTCGTCTGGTTAACTGGGATGTTTTTAATACATCTGTACTGGGTCAGCAAGGAAAGGCTACACTGTACCAGTGCACCACTGGGTGGGTAACAGTAACTTAAGGATGTCTACTGCATTTCACTTGCTGCACATTATTGTTTCACATGCAGTACGAAGCATTACCAGAAATGAAGCAACTGGTTAAGATGAAGAAAGAGACATTATGAACTTTGTGACATTTGGCCGACACCTCTGGCTCCCACTCTGCCTTCACAGTTTCTGAAGTAAAATGATTTCTGTTTTTCTCAATAGAAATCTTCAACCAGCTGTCTGATGGAGTGCACATCAAGAATCTTGGCGAATCAGAGGTAATAAAAATTCTTCTTGTGTTGCACATTTCTTGAAATTTGTTGGTAATTTACATTTTTGACAATTCACAATCTGCACTGCTGTTGATCTAAAACAGGGGAGGGGAAATATCTTACTGGCCAACAATGTCCTTTGCTTCAAATACCATTCCCCTTGTGTGTTGTTCTATAAATTATGGTGTTCTTGGACTACATTTTCAGATTTCAATGATGAAATGATGATGCTTTTAACCGGAGCTACAGATACATTAATGTGCAATAATAATTGTTCCCTCCTCATTTTTCAGTGGATGTACCTTGCGATGTACACTTAACCTGAGAGAGAAGATGAACTGCAGGATTCATTTAGAATTACAGCAGCAGATTATGTGAAAGAAAATAAATATGTGTTCTTCTGCAAATGAGCGATGAAATGTATCAAATGTATCAAATCACAATTAGATCATGTAAGGAAGAAGTGTTTTAAATCAATAATGTGTGCACTGTTACCACGAGCAAATGTACTGACATATATGTGAACACCTGTGAACCTATCCCATGATGCATAGCAAAAATACTTCACTATTTTAAGTTTACATTTTATTCTCTTTGATGTACAGTACAGGCCAAAAGTTTGGACACACCTTCTCATTCAATGCGTTTTCTTTATTTTCATGACTATTTACATTGTAGATTCTCACTGAAGGCATCAAACCTATGAATGAACACATGTGGAGTTATGTACTTAACAAAAAAAGGTGAAATAACTGAAAACATGTTTTATATTCTAGTTTCTTCAAAATAGCCACCCTTTGCTCTGATTACTGCTTTGCACACTCTTGGCATTCTCTCCATGAGCTTCAAGAGGTAGTCACCTGAAATGGTTTCCACTTCACAGGTGTGCCTTATCAGGGTTAATTAGTGGAATTTCTTGCTTTATCAATGGGGTTGGGACCATCAGTTGTGTTGTGCAGAAGTCAGGTTAATACACAGCCGACAGCCCTATTGGACAACTGTTAAAATTCATATTATGGCAAGAACCAATCAGCTAACTAAAGAAAAACGAGTGGCCATCATTACTTTAAGAAATGAAGGTCAGTCAGTCCGGAAAATTGCAAAAACTTTAAATGTGTCCCCAAGTGGAGTCGCAAAAACCATCAAG